ATATTTCAAAGGGTATGTTTTTGCTTATGTCTTTTTACCAAACCTTGACGGCAGCATTAATAGCCAAGTTAGCATTCCTTTAAAATACTGAATTCCGATTTAAATGGTGTAGATATTTTTACATTATGATATAGCACTAATAGGCTAACCCCCGGGTGTCATTTATATCTAGCAACATCCTTGTTTCAAATCTCTAAATATTGATTCTACAGAGATACGCTACTGTCGCAAAGGGACTATGCTAGTGGGGACTAGCTCATAAATGTCTGACAATTATTAAAAGACTGATGAGAGGCATCAGGCGCATAATAGCAATGAATTCTCCTCTATGTTACTGAAAAAGTACTCTGAGGTATTCATTACCAAAAAGCTCTGAGTGTTATACTGTACACGATCTCATAGGAGACACAAAAGCCAATATTATCTCCCACTGTGTACATACAATCAAGTGAGTCTCGGACACTCAGCACCCAGTAAGTGCATATCTGTGTGTGTGTGAGTGTAGTTGGCAAAAAGATGGTTAAATACCACCTGTCCCTGCCTCTCATCGCCACAGAATGCTTATGACAGGTTGCCTGGTCATTGTGCACAACAGTCTTAGAGGGATGTCATGGTCCGAATGCTTGCAGGGTTCTGCTGGGTCAGGCATTTAGCAGGCTTACGCCAGCCGTATAAGGACTGCTACAGTACCAGGAAACAGATGCACCTGTCAATAGGGGGAAGGAAACTCGAGGGGGCCGGGAGGGATGGAGGCAGGGGGCCGAGGCCTTAAAGGAAATGCTGAGTTTATTTACCTGCCTGTCTGAATCAGCTGCTGAAACACAGTTAACCGTTTCATGCACAGACACAGACAAAGACGGAACGGAACTTCTTGCTGAGCTGCATCTAATCTGCACCTGCACTACGTCTGATGTTCCTGGTTGACTTCTATAGGGATAATTTTTCAAAGTTTTCCAGAAAAAAAAGAAGCAAATTAGGGCAGGAGGAATCTTCAAGATCGTGTGAGAGAGCACGGCCTGTTGTTCCAGCAGTCACGCTCTTGTGTTTGGGTGCTTTGTAATGTTGAAAAAGTAGCCCTAGTCTATCACTGACATAGACAGAGCGGCCCACTAGAGTACGGAGTCAACCCTTGTATTTGTAACTGTCAGGGAGGAACAGTTGGACACATGACCTTGTGTGCGTCCTTGGTGACTTGACAGTGTGTGTACACACCAACAGCGGGGCAGAGACGCTTGCAGCTGCCGCCATTTCCCGTCATCACATGACTGTTTATACCCGCTCTATCAAACGCCCGAACCCACAAGTCAGCTCTGGCACAACTTAATGCTCTTCTATCTGGGTGAAAAATGCGGCCCAGAGGCCTGTGACACACAACCTCTGAGGTTTTCTGTGAATGATAATTGTAATATGCAATTTTTTTTTTTTTTCATGAGAAGCCATTGAAAAACCCTTGATAATATCCTTCTGATGTCCTCATAAAGGGTAGAGTCACTTCAACATCCATCACTGGCTCATAACGGTTTGGCCTAGATTTCCAAATATCAAGAGAGAAGAGGGGGTGGTGTGCTCTACTGTAACATGCCAGTTATACTCTAAGCAGAAGAGAAGTGATTGAGGGAGACCTGCTTATCTGGCCGCATGCGGTAAAGATGGTGCCGCTCCATTAGGACGAAGAAAGAGGGCGACATATGTCCTGAAAATGATATCCCCTATTACAAATCAACGATATCAATCATAAAAACAGGAAGCGGATTTAGAAAACCCTGTGAAGCGAAACATCTATTGACACAGGAGCTGATGCAGTCACCCCAGAGGACTTACCCACAGGGCTGGAGCCGACACCGCTCGGCACTGCGAGCTCTGTGAGGGGACCCAGCATGTCACCTAATGAGATGCACAAAATGAGATGATTAACCATCTGCATCTTTTATCTCCGAGTACCGAGTGTGTGGGTACATGTGTATGACAGGCCAGCCTTCACACGCAGCGTTCTGCTCCCTTTAGTGTGTCAAACACATTTGAATGTTGCACAATTTTAAGGAGTGAAACTGCCAACCTGTTAAAGCAAGAATCGTTATTGCTCGTACTGAACAAGTATTATACTTTGGTACACATCCTTGTACTACAGACATGAATGATTACTCAAATAATGTGGCTTGTTTAGCAGAAGTGTAATACTATTTATCTAAGTGATCTGACAACTTTCACCTGCCAGGCAGTAAGGAAGTAGAGACCCGGGTCATGAATGGGGCAATAACATACAGACTTTAAGGTAGGCCTGCCAACACCCACAAAACAACAACCACACAAAACACAACAGCAACCACCTAGCAACTAGAACACGTTTACAACAGTATAGCAATGCCCAGGCAACCATCTAGAACGCAACCTTAGCAACTGCATAACAACAGTAAAAACACCCAAAACACATCATGGAGATGACCTTTGCTTCATTTGTATTTTCCTTCTTTTATTAGTTTTTATCACCTATCATTTTACTACATACTTTACTACATTTTTACATACTACTGTTTAGGGCTGTCAAAAAAAATTTGAATTTCGAATATTCGTCGAATTTAAAATAAAAATCCACAAAAACATTGCATTCAAATTTTAGGTGTGCGTTAAGGAGGCAGCCTTATCAGTGGCGCACGAGATGCGATGACTATGTAAAACATTATAATGCTTTTGTTAGCCTATCCAGTTGAAGCCACTAGATGCGGCGCTGCTGCGCTGTTCATTAAAACTATAGCGGAAAAGAGAACATCAATGCGGAGAAGAACTTGTTTACATCAAAACCGAAACCAAGCCGTCACACAGAACGCATATTTCACGCATTTTCTAGACGGACATCTATTACTAGGGATGGGCGATACCCCTTATTTTGTTTTCGATACGATACCGATATTTTTCAAGGCAGTATCGTCGATATCGATACCGATTCGATACTTCTGCACTAAACTTTTAAATTATGAAATTTATTAAATTATTAAATTACTAAGCGTAAAATGGGTAATGAAAACCACTTAACTTTATGTTTAAAACGCATTTTAACCCGTTTAATCCCAAATTTTTCCCAGACATGAAAATATCCAAATGATGTATCATTAGTAACCCTTTGAAATAATGAATAATTTTTTTTTTTGGAAAAGTGTGTGAAAAATTGTATTTTATGGTCAGTCACAATTGTAACCGGTGGGATAATGTGTATACTGAATTAACAAAATTGTTACTTTTTTGTAACATATATCATCACATTTTTATAGTAGTGCTACCAGTATTACAACATTCATATTCTAACTTATTTGTAACATTTGAACTTTTGATTTAGTGCAATATTTTGTACTGCCATTAGGGACTGCCAGTGAATGGCTGTTTCACGCATTAAATGCAACCTTTTTATTCTGACAGTGTA